AAAAATGTATATATATACTTTAGTATATATTAAAATTGAAATGGCTAAATATCATCTTTGCATTGTAGTAGTTATTGGTTCAGACTTTGTGATATCATTTGTGGCTACGTGTCATTGGAAATTGCTGTGCGTGTCACATGTGGCATGTGTGCTGTAGGTTACTAACCTCCTAATTCACACTAATTCGACTAGATAGTTCCACTCAATAATCATTCCAGTCAGTAGCCTGACACCACTATTTCTACACCTGGTGGAAAGCATATATTCATAAATCCAAAGTGTCACCATCGAACCTCGGTGTGGGTAGTTACTCATTTTCTTCCTATATGACATATAGTCATTTCCTCCCGGGTACGAACCAGGGACTATGGTCACACATGCCATCATGACATTTTTTACTGAGGATTTTTGTTAAAAAATAAAAATAAACGATCTAAGATTACACACATTTTACACAGATAAAGCCCTGCTCTTTTGAGAACAATTTTTTTTTTTGTATTTCTTTAAAGCATAGCTTATTCCTTCAATGAGTCTATCGGAACCTTTTTCAGTCAAACACAGGCCCCCAAGCAGAACTGGAATTATTAATGTCATTTTTTATGCTAGATTTTTTCGACTTCCTCTTCAAGGTCCTTATATTTCGATATCTTTGACAATCTTCAAAGAAGCATGTCAATAAGAAAGCACATTTAATTGTATGGTCTTTGAGCACCATGTCTGAGCGATTATCTTTGATTGTTCTTCTTCTGGGTACTGTAAAATCCCATAAAAGTGTTACAGGTCCTATATCTGTAACCCTGTCTGGTGTGGTGGTCATATCAGTTTCTTTTTTCTCCAATCAATCCGAGGGCTCCAACCACAACTGGAACTACTAATGTCTTCATGTTTCACGATTTTTAGATTTTCATTTCAAGATCCTTGTATTTTAATAATTTATTATTATTATTATTATTATTATTATTATTTTGATTTCTGGTGTGTATACATTTCTTTCCGGGTCCCGACCTGAGATCTAAGGTCAGAAATGTCATCATAACATTTTCCACTTAGCAATTAAAAAAAAAAATCACGCATATTTTTACATAGATAAAGCCATTCGTAAGGTGTGGGCTGTACTTGTGAGGACATTCTTTTTTGTATTTTTTTAAGGCATGGACTAGCAGGAATCCCTTCAATGAGTCTATTGGAATCTTTTCCAAATAATCCGAGGGCTCCAACTACAACTGGATTTGTTGATGTTCTCATGTACCACATTTTTGAGATTTCGAAAGGTCCTTTTATGTTGATATTTTTTTAAGATCTTCAAAGATACATTGCAGTCTGAAGGAACTGCTATATCAATAACAACGTTCTTTTTATCATTGTGATCTCTAATCACGATGTCTGGGCGATTAATTTTGGTTATTTTGTCTGTGTGTATTGTGTAGTCCCATAAAATTGTTACAGGTCCTTTCTCAATAACCGGGTTTGGGTGATATTCATACTAATTTCTTGCAGTTTCCTTTCCGTAAAAGTTGCATATTTTCTTGTGCAGATATTGGCCCACTCGGTCATGCCGTGTTTTATATTCAGTGGGTTCCAATACCGCGCAATCTGATACAAGATAGCTAATTGTTTCTGGACATTTATCACAGAAAATGTGGGCTAACACAACTTTTTAGTATATGTACTTGGTAATTTCGAGTTAGCAAGCATTGGTTCTGTGCAGCAAGAATAAAACCTTCAGTTTCAGCTTTCAACCCTGCACTACATAGCCACTGATGGGTTTTGTCTGCCTCAGTTTGATTGATACGGGCAGAGTATTGACCGGAAGGTGGTTTATCTTGCTATCCTTTCTGTATCTGGTCGGTTGCATTTGCCTTTGCCTTTTCTTTTTTAAGTATTTTGCAGCTTCAATCGGTGTATTTGTATTTCTACACCCTTTTGAAACTCTAATTTGAACTTGTTGGCTTCCTTTATTACTGAATAGAGTTGCTTACTACTTTATTATTATTTTATGTATTACTAGCAGCATGGCCCGGCGTTGCCCGTGCTTGATTCAAAAATCGTACGACTCAGACAGCAATTGCTATCACTTGACTTAAAATATTCTTGCCCTTCCTTGCCTTTAAAAAGGAATGCCCTTTGCTGTGCTGATGTTTTTACACGCCTTACTTTAAACCTATCTCACGCTGCGAATTTTTTCTAAGCTCTATACTAAACATTAAATCTGTTACGAAAAAAGGAACTAAACAAAATGAACACAAAACGATCAGCTTTAAAAAAAGGACTCGTAACTGGAAAAACCAAATGAAGAAAGAATGTTAACAACAAATACTTTTTCACACCCAACCCAGTTCTGCGGAATCAGAATCAACGTTGAGTTTAAGCAAGCGAATGAGACAATTGGAGTAAAGTGCCATGCAGATTTAAATTTTTCCCACTTGTGACGAATGCAGCTATCGATTTCTTTTGCATGCTAGCATGCTAGTTGACATTCGTGTCAGTCAGCTGTTAGCTCTCACACTGGTCAATAGAATCTTCCTGCCTATTCGTGGCAGCCAGCTATAAGCTCTCACTCAGGGCAGTAGAAAATGGCCGCAAACTACATGAAAATTGCCGTAGAAGCATAAAAAATCGATTATTTCCATTATCGATGGGAGTTGGGAAATGCAAAGTCGGTCTTGGCCTTCCCGCTAACTTGGAGCATGTGCATGTAAATTTTGGTGCAAATCCGTCGAAAATTGCGGCCGTGCATTCGTTACACACACACATCCTGCCTTTTATAGATAGAGATTGTTTATTCTTTTTTGTTTATTATTTGTCATATTTTTCCGCAGTTTTCAAGGTCCTTGTATTTTGGTTGTTTTTTTGAAGATCTTCAATAATACATTGCAGTCTTCAGGCACCCGCCATGTCAATAAGGAAACACATTTTGTCTTTTCAGTCTCTAATCACGATGGCAGTGCCATTAGCTTTGGTTGTTCTGTCTTTGTGCATTGTAAAGCCCCATAAAATTGTTTTAATTTTTATCTCCCTAATTTCTTGCAGTTTCCTTTCCGTAAGTGCTGCAGATTTTCCAGATTGGCCCACTCTGTCGTGTCATGTTTTATATTCCGTGGGTGCTAATACCGTGCAACCTGATACAAGATGGTCAATTGTTTCTGGTATTTATAAACACAATCTGCATTTCGGGTTAACACAACTTTACTTTCTTTTTTTTTTAAAAGTATTTTGCAGTTTCAGTCTGTATATTGTACTTTGCTTTTATTTCTACACCCATTTGAAACTCCATTTTGAAATTGTTGGCTTCCTTTATTGCTGAATAAAATCGTTTATTACTTTCAAGTTCTTTGACACATCACATCACCCAGTCTTCTGTAGTTTCCAGGTATCTTTGAAGCCCAATTGTTGTATTATTATTATTATTATTATTATTATTATTATTTGTGTGTTATGTTTCCTGCTTTGTATCCTGTAGAGCTGGGTCCAAACTATTTTCCTTAGGCCCTATAGGAGAATAGTCATTTAATTGATAGCACTTCTCTTAGTATATGGAATGTCCCTAGTTGGGCGATCTTCTGGGCGACGTATGTTGATGCTACCTGGGACACTGTTAGTAAAATTTAGCCCAGTGCTCCTATTACTATTGGTACAGTCTCAGTCTTCATTCCCCACATCCTGTTAATCTCGATCTCCAGGTCCTTGTGTTTGGACAATTTCTCGATAATTTTCATAGAGTTGTTTCTCACAGATGGTACTGCTATGTCAATAAACATACACTTCCTGAATTTCTTGTCTTTTATTATTATTATTATTATTATTGTTGTTGTTGTTGTTGATTTTATTTTCGTTATGTTTTCTGCCATTGTTGTCGTGGTTACTTATTAAGTTATAAATGTATATTAAATTCATATGTTGTAATCAATGCTAAACTAAAATTGATATCTCGTTAGATCTGGTGTCTCTCCTTCGAAAGAATTGTCTGGTGCCGTGTTGAGGTGAGAAAAATTGCCAAGAGTGAAACCAGAGTTATAAACTAGAAAGATAGAGTATGTACATTCAAAAACACTGGATGGTCGGGGTGGTGGTCGATCGACTGGGAGGGTCGGGTGGAATCGAGTGATTTAAGAAGGGAAAATTACCATGAATTTCTCCCGGGAGACGATTTGGAAATCATGCAAACAAGATGAGGTTTCGGTCCGGACGGAGTTACGGTTAGTAACTGGAGGAGGTGTTTTTTTTTATGGATGGGTAAGGAAGAGTGAAAAGGGGGAGCGGGGAGGGGCAGACAAGTGAGATACGACACGCACACGGACGCACGTGATTATCAAGAGATGGTGTTGTTTGTATCATTATAAAATAGCTTTCATTATCAGAGTTTTTTTTTTCTTTTTCAATTCAGATGCTTTATTTATTTATTTATTTGTTAGTGAGTGTTTTTTTTTCTAACTTAGAAAAAAACTGGTTTGCGTGTTGTGTATATTTTACGGGAAAATTCTCGAGTATTCAGCGTCGACAAAACCTGTTTACAAATGTTCAGGTGCGTGCTTGTGTTTAAATAAACGTTCGAAGAGATAGATAGATAGATAGATAGATAGATAGATAGATAGATAGATAGATATGAAGGAACTGAAATAGATAGATAGATAGATAGATAGATAGATAGATAGATAGAAATGGCCATAATTAGATAGATGGATAGATATAAACAAAGACTGAGATAGATAGATAGATAGATAGATAGATAGACATGACCATAATTAGATAGATAGATAGTTAGATAGATAGATATGACCATTATTAGATAGATAGATAGATAGATAGATGATAGATAGATAGATAGATAGATATCAGCATATTGAGTTTCATATCAGCATATCAGCATACTGAGATAAACAACATAGTGAGACAGATAGATAAATAGATAGATAGATAGATCAGCATATTGAACAAGATATCAGCATACTGAGATAGATGGATATCAGCATACTGAGATAGATATCAGCATACCGAGAAAGCTAGAAAGATATCAACATAGATCGATAGATAGATATCAGTATACTGAGATAGATAAATATCATCACAGTGAAACAGATACATAGATAAAAGATAGATAAATAGATATCAGCATATTGATATAGATAGATAGCATACTGATATCTATGTATCTATCTCAGTATGCTGATATCTAGCTGGCTAGCTATCAGCATACTGCGATAGACAAATATCAGCATACTGAGATAGAAAGATAGATAGATAGATAGAGAGATAGATAGATAGATAGATATCAGTATACTGAGATAGATAGATATCAGCATACTAGGATAGATAGATATCAACATACAGCGATAGACAGACAGACAGACAGACAGACAGATAGATAGATAGATAGATAGATAGATAGATAGATAGATAGATAAAAAGTATACAAGGATATATAGATATATAGATAGAGGGATAGATACCAGCAGACTGAAACAACTAGCTAGCTAGATATCAGCATACTGAGATAGATAGATAGATAGATAGATAGATAGATAGATAGATAGATAGATAGATATCAGCATACTGAGATAGATAGGTAGATAGATATCAGCATACTGAGATAGATAGGTAGATAGATATCAGTATACCGAGATAGATAGATATCAGCATGCTGAGATAGATAGGTAGATAGATATAAGTATGCTGAGATAGATAGATAGATAGATAGATAGATAGATAGATATCAGGATACTAAGATAGATAGGTAGATAGATATCAGCATGCTGAGATAGATAGGTAGATAAATATTAGTATACTGAGATAGATAGGTAGATAGATATCAGCATACTGAGATAGGTAGATAGATATCAGTATACTGAGATAGATATCAGCATACTGAGATAGATAGGTAGATAGATATCAGCATACTGAGATAGGTAGATAGATATCAGTATGCTGAGATAGATAGATAGATAGATAGATATCAGGATACTGAGATAGGTAGATAGATATCAGCATACTGCGATAGATTGGTAGATAGATATCAGTATACTGAGATAGATATCAGCATACTGAGATAGATAGGTAGATATCAGCATAGTGAGATAGATAGGTAGATAGATATCAGCATACTGAGATAGGTAGATAGATATCAGTATACTGAGGCAGATAACTGAAAGTACATGTATCTATGTTTTATAAACTACGCAAAGGCATTCGACAAAGTACGCCACACGGACGTGCTAGAACTGCTCAGCAACCTTGATATATTCGGGAAAGATATCAGAATAATCAAGAACCTATACTGGCAGCAGACGGCATATTCGCATCGAGAATGAGCTCAGCGAATATACAAAAATAGAAAGAGACGTAAGGCAAGAATGTGTCGTCTCACCGGACTTATTCAGCTTATACAACGAGGCAATTTTGAGGGAACTCGAGATTCTACCATGATTCATCATTGGCGGCCACAAACTTACCAACATAATATGTGCAGATGACAAGGTACAGATAGCAGACACGGAAAAGAAACTACAAAACCTCCTACAGAAGGCAGCAAGGGAGAGCGAGAAGAAAGGACTAACTATAAGTTACAAGAAGACGAAGTGCATGGTCATCAGTAAAAGGATGACCCCAAAATGCAGGTCGGAGACACTAAAATCAAACATGTGCTGAAGTTTAAGTATCTGGGAAGTGTTCTGACGGAAGGTGAGACGCTGAGATCCGAAGACGGATTGGGATGGCCAAGGATGCATTTCAGAAACTGGGCAACTACGAAACAGGAGGATTCTATGGTAACAAAGATAAGAGTACTGATCTGCTAGGTGACATCTGTCCTCGTATACGGCAGCTTCCTGTCCCTTGAGGTCCTTAGCCATGTTTATCTCTTTTCCAACCCTCTTGTATCCCTCCGCCCATCATTCATTCACACAAGCTCATCAGTTAGGTGGTCTGCCTCCTTCCGCTATTTCTCTTGCCCTCGACATGCCTCGTGAGTGTTATTTTCTCCAAGCCTTCCTTCCTCGTTATGCGTCCAAGAAATTTCGACTGTCTCTGATTCTGAGTATAGTTGTTCTTTGTTGTTACCATTTTCTTTAAGATTCTTTAAGACTCCTACTTACTCGCTCTGTTCATGGAATCCTCAGCATCCTTCTGCGGAACCACATTTCAGCTGCCTCCAGTTTTCTCTTCATCTAATGGGAGGTTGTTCCACAGTCACTGCTCTAGGAAACGACTGGTATCACATAGCAGTTCAACACTTTTCTTTCTTTCTATCGAAATTGTCCTGTTTTTCATTTTTATTGTTGCTATTTGGTCGGCATAGCCAATAGAGGTGAGCCTTGTATCTGTTGTCGCTTCCGTGGAAACACATAGGAGGCATTACTTTCCCATTGTCTGCACATTATATACAGGCTGATTGAATGATTCTCGTCTCGTAAAAATTATATTTAGACTGGAGAGTATATCATACATAAAATAGGGAGTTACTTTTCTACCACCCCGTATACAGGTTGTATCAAAAATAATTTTACAAACTTTGTGGGCTGCTTCCTCACAGCCAAACAAGGAGAAAAGTTCATATAAACATATATCTGCAGATCCTTCGTTTTTGAGTTATTAAGTTAAAATAAAGTTTACAGTAGATGGTGTTGAATTTCCATGTAGACTAGTTTACATTTGTTATTCGTGTACATTTGTAGCTAGTCTGCCTTCAACGTTTAACCCGACCTCAGTACGTTGGATTTTTGTCTGTGGGGAGCAGACATTACTTGACGGGTGGATGCATGCGGAGAAGGGAGTTTTGAACACTTGCTATGAGTTGCTGTGTACAACGATGGTCTTTTTGATATATGTTTATATCGACATTTTACCTTGTTTTGGTGTCAGGAACCCCCCACCCCAAGGTTTTTAAAAGTATTCTTGGATTGAATCTTGGAGTGTACGTCTAACAGCACCTACCGTAAACTTTAAACTTAACTCATAAACGAATGATTTGCGGACATATGATTACGCGGACTTTTGTCTTTGTTTTGCTGTGAGGAAGACGCACTCAAAGTTTGTTAAAGTATTGTTGATACACACTGTACATATATACTAGGTTTCACATACCCTCAGCGATATGTATGATAAACCAGGGTATGAAATGACTACATGAAAAAACCGTCGAAAAAGTATAACTAGTACGGGTTACGATATGGAAAAACGTGTTTAGCTGCTTAAAAATTACTTTGACCTGAGCATTAGTCTGAGAACATAAATAAAATTCTTTTCGTTTTTCATTCAAAATACTCATTTATTCAAAAATAAATTTATTTCATGATCGCCGACGATCATATTTAAACGGAACGCTGATCTTATAAAAGATTTCATTTATCTGTTTGGATTGGTATTGCTTTATGTCCATCGTCTTTTTCATGTTGAATTGAATATTACTTATGTTAATTATGTTTTATGAATATGTCCTGAAGATGGTCTATTAGACCGAAACGTCCGACGTTGACATTAAACATTAAAAACAGCATAATCGCATATTAGGATTTTTGTTTGTTTTTTTAGTATATTTTTTCATATATATATATATATCATATATATATATATATATATATATATATATATATATATATATATATATATATATGCTATATAAACGTATATATAAGTTTGATCAAAATAAAATTTTTTGTTTTTAGTTAAGTCAAAAAATAATTATTTTAAATATTTTTTTAAACATCTTCTCAAGTGACTACAGAAATGATATTTAAAAGTTGACCTGATATAAATTACAGACGGATAAAAAAATCCCCGATAATTTTTGGATCGAAATTGAAGGTCGAATAATATGTTGAATATTCTATATTATATGTTTTATGAATATGTCCTAATGCCGGTTATTATACCAGAAACGTGTTTTATTGACATTAAACATTAAAAAGATAATCCATAAATGAATTTTTGATTGTGTATTTAAACTGCCATCATATATGTTTATATATATAATATATATAATATATATATATGAACTGTGACTGATATATTTTGCATCGTTTGAAAACAAAAATATATATATATATAATAATTTAAAATATTAAAAAATTGCTAAGTGAATGTTGAAACAGCTGTTTTGTTTTAAAAATTTTATTGGCCATTTTACACACACACACACACAAACACACATGGGCTTCACACACACACAAAACATATGTTTTTTGATACTTACTCACACACACACAAAATTGTTTTTTGATTGCCATTCCACACACCTCGTGAAATTTGTCAAAAACAAAACATATATGGTTTTCTACATTTCTGTTTGCCACACAATTTGATATCAAAATCTTCTTCTTCTTCTTATTATTATTTTTATTATTAAAATTTATTTCCATTGATTTCTGTTCTTTTCTCATTTCATATAAGAATTGCACAACTGCATTCTAATGGACAGAAATAGTTACATGAATATTTGGCATTCCAAAAAAACCCTTTCAGATTTGACATTTTATAAATTATATCTCTTCTAATCCAATTCTTTCATATCTTCTTCTTCACCTTCTTTTTCTTCTTCTTCTTCATTCAATTCATTCTTCTTCTTTCTTCTTCCAACTATTCAAATGTAATTTCATCTCCATTTTTTTTCATATTGAATTATAAAAAAATAATCATTTATTCAAATTTCTGTAACCCCTTGTCTTCTAAAATTTCCTCGCCATATTTCAAATAAAAAATATATATATTTAATCCTTTCTAAACTTCTCCTTACAAATATAAATTAATTTTATTTTCATCACAATTCTTCAGTTTTATCCGTAATATTAGATATTTCTTTTATTTGTCATTACAATCATTATTATATGATAATTTATATATTTTTTCCAATTTCAATGGATTTGATATATATATTATATTATATATATATAAATATATAATTATATATAAATTTTATATATATTTAATATTTATTTTGTGTTGTTGTACTTTTTATCAAAAAATTTGTCTTTTTTTAAATGAATTTTATTTAAATTATAGTTTTTTATATAATTGTAAATATTTAAATAAACCATAGCCCAAAAAATTTCTGTGATTCTTTTGGATTTTTGTTATTTAAAAAAATTTATTTGAATCAAAAAAGATAACATTAAATATTTTTATAAAAAATATTTATCAAAATAAAAAAAACGGATATAAAAAAAAAATTTTTTTAGATTGTAATAAATTTATAAATATATATATATGAAGAAATTTTAAAGTATTATAAAATTTTTTTAGGATGAAATGAAAAAATGTGTTTTGTTAATTAAAAAAATAAAATTCTTATTTAAACATTTTTTTAATGAATTAGAACTGTTTAAACTAAAACATATTTTTTCAATTTTGTATATATATATATATATATATATATATATATATATATATATATAAATATATATATATATATATATATATATAAACATATTTAATATTTGCACCATGCATTTATTATGATAAAAAGTGTTATAAAAAAAATTGATGTCTTTTTTAAGCCTTATTTTAACAACCCTAAATTTCATTTAAAAATTAATTTTAATTTTAATTGATTTTTCAAATTTTATAGAATAAAACATTTTTTGATACTTAACGAGTATATCCATTATTTGGTTTGGTTTAATTTATTTAATAAATTATAACTATCAACAAAATGAAATTGGAGGGAATTTACATTCTTTGTAAATATGTCTTTGCCAATTTTAAATGGTTTTTGTGAACTAAGACAGTCAAGAAATTTAAAAAAACAAAGATTCACCCAAAAACGTTTAAAATAATAAATTAAATTGCATGTCTCATTATTTGGAAGGCCCAAAGATAAAAAAATTTTTTTTTTTTTTAATATGAAATATTGATATAAACATAAAGAAAAAAATGGAACCAATTGTGCATATTGTTTTTATTTTTCTTGAAGGTTTGACAACTTGAATTAGAAAATTCAATCCAAGAAAAAAACAGTTTGTTTGATTATTTTCTAGACAACATTTATAATCCCTTGAAGAGTTCTTTTCCGTCTGTCGTAAAAATGGAATATTCAGACCGTGAACATACCCGTTTCATTAAATTTTTCATACAGATAGTTTTTTTTTTTTTATTAAATTCTGTTCAGTTC